GGTGGCTCCTCGCCTCTGGAACAACCTCCCTTCAGAGATTCGTGTGGCCCCCACGCTGGGAATCTTTAAAACCCAATTAAAAAGATGGTTGTACATCCAGGCCTTCCCTCCAGTCAATTCCTGATTTCTTTTCTATTCCTTCTTATTTTATTCTCACTCTATTTTATTGTAACTGTATCAAATGATTATGTAATGTTCTTGTGTTTTATTGTTTTATCCTATACTGGAAGCCGCCTAGAGTGGTCGAGTAGACCAGATAGGCGGGGTATAAATCAATCAATCAAGCAATCAAATAAATAAATAAATAAATTAGAAATAAATAGAAATAAATAGAAATAAGATGAACAAGGCAGAACAATACAAAAGAAAAAAAACACCACCCACCAGACTTGATCGGTAACCCTCCAAGGGCTTGCTCATAATAACTAAAGGAAGGGGGATAATTCCAAGGAGAAGTTCATCGTGCTCCTACAGATACAAACCAATTCAAGTTGGGCTTAGGAGATGAAGAGCTCTTTTCCCAAACACAGCCTCAACTGAGGCAAAGCGGTCTATGCAATAACACCTGATAATGGAAGAGTGCACCTTCCAAATGGCTGCCCTGCAAATTTTTTTTTAGAGGGCGTCTAACACCAAATGCACCTGCTCTGGCAAAATGGTCCATGCAGTAATGCCTGACAAAGGAATAAGTAAGAAAAGGCAAGCTGAAGATGAGGTTGGAGGGTTAAAATGAAGGAAGAAACTGAAACTGGTTCAACCACACATGATCCCTGTCTCAAGATACCCCTAGAGCCACATGATTGGCTGATCAGTCATGCCTGTAGAAGTGAGCAGGCGGGACAACCCATTTCTTGAGAATGCCCTCCTCTAATATAGAAATGCCACTTCTGAAATGGTACCTATTATGCTGTATTTCAGAAGTTGGTGAATGAACTGCTTAAAAATATTCTCAAATATTTCACTGTTTGTTAGCAGTATTATTGCACAAGAAACCTGTATATGTATGCTCAGAAGCAGGGCTCCATCAGGTATGTATTAGTTTCTTGGAAACAACAGCAACAACTCCTCTGAGAAATCAAGATAGCCTCATTTAAATCTAATCCCACACCAATGTTCAGAGTCTGAAAACCAGGGGGAAAATAGCCAAAAAGCCTAAATCTCTCCAGTTTAAAGATCCATTACCATCATTTTATTTCGTCACCAACAAATTAATTTCTATTGTTCCATAAATGATGAGCTCTAAATAAATTGCAAGGTATCATCTTTTACAAATAACCCTGAATCACAAAATAGTGCAAAAAATATTCAATCAGCATCCAAAAGGACAGAAATTCATCTCATCTCCAAAAATATAAAAATCTATTCACTCTTTTTCTTCTGAATATAGGTCTCTGACTCCTCAACAACTGCCCACTCAGTTGCTCCATTGTGTCCTCAACAGAATGAAATGTGTGACTTTCTTCCAAAGGAGCCTAATTAGGCAGACTGGACAGCAACTATTTAAACAAAGGGTAGTTGTCACTGTGTTCTCCTCCACCTACCAACGGTTCTCAACTACCTGAATTTCTAGTCCCCTCTTCGAAAGGACTCTTACGAACACAATGTTCACTTAAGTATTTACAGTACTCTTTAACACAGTTAAGACCTTTAACAACAGTCAAACTTGAAGATAATAACAACTGTTTTTCTAGGCACACCCAAAAATACTACTTGGAGCCTAAAAGGCTCTAGGCTCTTAATAAAGCAAATTATTTGCCCCAGCCTACCTTTCTGTACAATTCCGATCTGGACGCCGTTCTCTTTTAATCGGCTCATTGCTACTTCTTCTCTAACCCCGATGTTTCCCCATAGCTTCACTTTCCCGAATTCCCTTTTCTCTCCCACTTAACCATTCTCTTCGCCTCATTCAATCTCTCCCACTATCAATACACTTCCCCGCCCCCCTCGTCAATTTCTCGCCCCCCCTCACAATTCTAACCTCTCCCATACCAGCAACCACATATTGGGGGGGGCACAAGAGGCCCCGCCCAGCCTGTACTCCGTAGGAAACCACACCCCTTCTCACACTGTAGACACCGCCCCCCCTTTCGATTTACTTGCACGCCCCCAAGCCCGACAAAGAGCCCTAACCGGGTGTGTCTCCCTCCCTCTCTTCCTTCTCCCCGTTTGCTCACCCTCTCCCTGAAGTACCACCGACACAGCTGCCGGCTCCGATCGTTTCTCGCCTGCCTTTCGCACTTTGTCCCCGGGCGCGCCAGACTCAGATTAGCCTCCCCCTTCTTCCCCTCGTCCTCCGATCCGGACAACAGAGCGCCAAACCAGGCGGCAGCCCAATGGCCACCGCTCTCATTGGAGAAAACCTGTCGTCGTCCGCATTGGATAGCCTGACTACCTTTTCCGCTCCGCGGCCTTTTCTTCGTCCAATAGGCATTGACGAGAGGCGGTCCCAGGAGCAACTTCAGGGTGGGGAATCCGCACCCCCTCTCACGTGCGGGGCGGGAAAGCAAGAGAGGGAAGCTCTTTGTTCTCTCGCTGGTTGGAGGACTAAGGCGGTTTCTTTTCTTTTTTAAAATGAGTCGACATTATGGCCCCTTTGTAAGCGCCCTGTTCGCTTCAGATATCGGCGAGGGCGGGTGAGAACGCTGAAAGAAAACTCCCTTTTGGTCTTAGATAAGAAGGTGGAATAAAAGTTTGCTTCTTCGGAACGGCGAGGGCGTATTGGCGTGGAGCGCCTGCCTCCCTCGGCTCCAGGGCGGACGGCGGTTAACGGCTTTCGCAGCTGTCTTGCCGTTGCGCGCACTCGCCCGCTAGAGGAAAAGCTGAGTTTTTCTGTCTCTTGCAAGGCTCTGTCCCCCACCGATGACCGCTGTTAGCGGATGGAACCCTTACCAGTTGACTCGCATTTGTAATAACGGGTTAAGGTTTAATGTCTGTAAGACATGCTATATTTTTTCGCGGGCATAGTCTAGCTCTGCCGCTGATAGGGCTTGCAGTTTCTTTTTAACAAATGCGAATTATAGCAACACTGGTAAATCTGTAGAGGTTCAGCTGCAGCTAGTGAACAAATATTCGTAATGGAATAGGTCAGCAAGGGGATACCTCAGCACAACATACATTAGCCTCTGGCTTATTTAAGACTAGCTAATTCATAAGATCGCACCGTTGGGGGTTACGGTGATTTATCCACCTCGGAAACTTAGCTGCTGCCATACAGTATGTAGCCGAAGGAAAAAAAAGCTTCATTACGTGCAAATTTCTCACTTCACCTAGAACTTAGGAATCCTCTGTACAGCAGTTGGAGGGGGAAGGTCCCTGTTCTAAGGAGCTGATACTCTTACTGCACGTCAAGAACTTTTCTATTTTTACATATTTTATTCTCTAATATTCTGCGGATATAGTGAGGTAAGGAGAAATACAAGAATAACAGAAAGGCGGCTGAGTGCTGATGTTATCAAAGAAGAGACAAAGGACAACATAATTGAAGGAAAGACAAATGGAAAGACCCAGTTCACCCTTTCTTTGATGAGTAACACCAGAGATAATGAGACAAAAATAAACATTTTTTAAAAAATGTGGCACCTTAAAGGCAGCTATATTTTAACGTACGCTCTAATATATTAATTACACTATAATTGAATGATAATTTAATAAGTTGAGATGAGCTATAATATAAAAATAATAGCACATAGTGGTGGTTCTGGGTTTTTTGGGCTCTTTGGCTGTGTTCTGAAGGTGGTTCTTCCTGGCGTTTTGCCAGTCTCTCTGGCCGGCATCTTTGGAGGACTGGAGTAGGAACTCTGTCCATGCTCTGTCCAACAAACACAAACAGCGCATGGACAGAGTTCCTACTCCAGCCCTCCAAAGATGCCCGCCACAGAGACTGGCGAAACGTCAGGAAGAACCACCTTCAGAACACTGCCAAATAGCCCGAAAAACCCACAACAACCATTAGATCCCAGCTGTGAAAGCCTTCGCAAATACAATAGCATGTAGTCTTTAAACTGTTTGATATCTCTGATGTTACTTATCCAATAAATCTGTCTTCTATTTCTTCAGTTGTCTTTCTTTCAATGATGTATTGCAGTATATACTTATGACAAATTATGTGTCCAAGGTATGAAAGTTTGTTTCTTATTAATCAACTTTGTTTCTTTTTGTTTTCCTATCAATGGAGTGCCTCTTCATTCTTTATTATCTTAGGCCATGGGATGAGGATTCTTTTGTATGTCCCCATTTTGAAATCATTTAATAATAGCCCAAACTTCACATCCATATAGGGGACAGGAGCTATGGATGGAATTATTTGATGAAATGGCTATATAGTACTTAGTTTAGGGTGTTGCTATGGTGTTGTTGAAATTGTTTACAACAATATGGACATTTACAAAAATGTGTGTAACAAGATACAGTGGGGTCTTGACTTGAGAACTTAATCCGTATTGGAAGGCGGTTCTCAAGTCAAAAAGTCTGTAGGTCAAGTCTCTGCATTGAAAACCGATTAATCCCGTAACAAGCCGTTTTTGTTCCATTTTGGTCTTTTTCTGGTCTGTAAGTCAGGCTGCAAGTCAAACCTAAATTTTGCGGCCAGAGAAGTCTGTAACTCAAAAAGTCTGTAAGTCAAGCCGTCTGTAAGTCAAGGGTCCACTGTACTAATTCATCTTACCACATTATGGCACCTTGTGTGAATTGTAACCTCGTTTTGGTATCTGCAAAATTGGTCCAGTTCTCCTCTTTCCAGCTGTGGGAGGTAAAAGCTTTACAAAAATGAGGCACATGTACATAGTTGTCAAGTTATACATATTGCTGCTGATACAGTTGAGGGGTGCTTCCTCACAAGTAAATTCTAATTACTTGTCAGCAATATGTATAACGGGTTACCTGTGAGGAAGCACCCTTCACTATATCACTAGCAGTATGTAACAAATCAGTAATCTGCAAGTGAAAATGCTATTGGCAGATAGATTGCCATTCCAATGCTGGCCTCCTTATCTGAGCTGGTGTTTCTCTTTGGTGCTTCCCCCCCTCATTTCTAGATAATTATTAGTTGGGAATAAGTTTCCTTTCAGGCAGCAGTGTGAAAGGAACTCTCTGACTATTGCCCATTTGTGACCAATGATTTCTGCTTTTCCTTGATGTTATTTCCGGGAGGCAGGAAGTGCAGCCTGCATGGAGTTTATTTTGCATGCAGGGTATTTCAGTTTGGTGGCTCATATTTCTGGTTAAAGGTGATAGAGCAGCTCTAAAGTTTGTTAAATTGCTTTTGACTTACAAAATTGCGACCCCCCCCCCAAAAGACGGTCATTAGCTGCCTTTGGGTACTTCAGAGTGTGGCTTCCTTTATGGAGTCAATCCCTGTTATGTTTGGTCCTCCCCTTTTCCTTCTGTCTTCAACTTTTCCTAGCATTATGGTTTTTCCATCTAGTTTTCTTATGATGTGTGCAAAGTACAACAGCTTCATTTTAGTTATTTTTGCTTCAAGAGAATGGTCAAGCTTGATTTGATCTGTTGCTATGCACTGTCATGTTGGAACTTACTTATAGTGACCACAATAGAGCTTTCAGGGTAAGAGAGATATTTAACGTCTGGTTTTGCCACTTCCAGATCCATTCCATTATAGTCTGGCTTCAGGCCTGGTTACAAACCAAAGGCAACTTTGGTTGCCTTGGTTGATGATCTGCTTCAACTGGACAGGCAGAGTGTGTCTATGTTGGTTTTGCTGGACCTCTCAGTGGCGTTCGATAGCATCTATCATGATATCCTTCTAGGGTGACTTTCTGGAATGAGTTTTGAAGGGACTGTATTACAGTGGTTCTGATCCTTCCTGGATGGCTGAACTCAGAAGATGGTATTGAGGGAAACCGGTTCGTTTGCAGCATCTATTGATGCAGCATCTATAGGAAACCACCAGGAGAGGTTGTCCAGGGTTTGGGGTTCAGTGCCATCAGTATGCTGATCATACCCTACTCTCTCTCTCTCATGCCAGTCTGATTCCAAGGAAGCTGTTCTGTGCTTAGACCAGTATCTGTTGTCCATGATGGGATTTGATGAGGGCTACGGACATGAAACTTAACCCAGACAAGAAGAATCAGAAACAGGCTGCATGATCTGGGAAACAATATGAATACAGGAACACGTAATACCTTTAACTGACCATTAAGAATTTTTTTAAAAAAACAGCAAGCTTTGAATGATAAAACATCTCTGTGAAGGCTGTGCATCAAATTCTTGTGGGTAATTCCAACTTGTATGCTGTTATTAATATCCTGAATCCACATGGCTATTTATCTACTACTGGCCACACAATCAAGGAGGGAAAGTGGATGAAACATTTGAAAAACAAATTTCAAAGATTTTTCCTTCCGAGAAATTCCTGGTTTCTGTGGCTGATAATTTTCTCCTACAAAAAGTGGTGAAAGAAGCTAGAGGACTAGCTATCCTTTACTTGAGTCTTATCAATGAATATGTTTTGGTGAAGGAAGTGGCAATAAGGCTTACTCTGGACAAGAGTGAATATGTTCTACTAGAATTCTTGATTTCAAAGGAAACCACGGCAGAGTGTAGGCACAAAAATATGCTAGATTTTTAAAAAGCCAATTTTAATAATGTCAGAACAAGGATAAGTAAGGTCCCATGGCAGGAGATCCTAACAAGAAAATGAGTCCAAGAAAGGTGGGAGTTTCTAAAAAAAGGAAGTTCTAAAAGCACAACTACAGACAATTCCAAGAAGAAGAAAAAGGTAGGAGGGAGCAAAAAAAAGGCCAGCATGGCTTCACAAAAATCTCAGGGAGGACCTGAAAACAAAAAAGACATATATAGGAAGTGGAAAGAAGGCCAGGTCACCAAGGAAAAGTACAGACAAAGAGCAAGGAAAAGCAGGAATGGCATTAGCAGAGCAAAAGCTGAGAATGAGCTCTAGCTAATGAGATGTAGAAAGCATTCTTCAGGTATGTGCAAAGCAAAAGACAAAGAAAAGAGTGGCACAGCTACACTGTTTCCCCCAAAATAAGACCTAACCTGAAAATAAGCTCTAGTATTATTTTTCAGGATGCTCATAATATAAGCCCTACCCTCCGAATAAGCCCCACTTAATTGAAACCCCACCCTCCACCATTGTGCAGCAACCAGAAGAAGATGGATGACATGACTATTTGAATACATGTAAAAATAAATCATCCCCTGAAAATAAGCCCTAATGCATTTTTGGAGCAAAAATTAATAAAAGACCCTGTCTTATTTTGGGGGAAACATTGTGGTTATTACTGTGTTGATTTCTAGCTCCTTGAATAGTGACCGTTTTATAATTTGTTCCAGAATTTTCCCTGGGATTGAGGTCAGGCTGACTGGCCTGTAGTTCCCAGGTTCCTCTTTTTTGTGCTTTTTCAAGATAGGGACAACATTAGCCCTCCTCCAATCATCTGGCACCTCACCTGTTTCCCATGATTTCAAAAAATAATGGACAGCAGTTCTGAGAGTTAGTTCATCAGCCAATTTCTTCAGTACTCTTGGATGCAATTCATTCAGCCTTGGAGGTTTGAACTTGTTCAAGGTGGTAAGGTATTCCTTGACTATTTGTTTATCAATCTCCAGGTGCAGTCTTGTCCCTCCACTAGCATTTTACATTTGTCTGGAGGGTTATAGTCTGTTCTTTGGGAAAAGACTGAGCTAAAATAGGAAGTAAGCACCTCTGCCTTTTCTTTGTCATCTGTTATCATTTCTCCATCTCCACTGAGTGCCATGTTTCCCCGAAAATAAGACAGGGTCATATTGATTTTTACTCCAAAAATGCATTAGGGCTTATTTTCAGGGGATGTTTTATGTTTTTCATGTACAAAAATCTACATTTATTCAAATACAGGAACAAATCCTGACAGACTAACCTAACCTCCCTGATAGACAGAGGGAATGCTGAAGGCATATATCTTGGTTTCACCAAAACTTTTGACAAAGCTAACTAGGTGTGGGCTGGATAGATCAAGTGTCTGGTGGATACACAATTGGGTACAGAATCGTACTCAGAGGGTGATGTTTAACGGTTCCTTTTCCAACTGGGACGAGGTAACAAATGGGGTACCTCAAGACTCAGTCCTGTGTCCAGTACTCTTCAACAGTTTTACTGTATTAATGACTTGATAAAGGAGTGCAGGGAATGCTTATCACTTTGGAAATGACAAAAAATTGGTTGAAATAGCCAATACCCTGGAAGACAGAAACAAAATTCAAAATGATCCTGATAAGCTGGAGCACTGGGCTGAAAAAAACAGAATGAAAGTCAACAGGGACAAGTGGAAAATACAGCATGTTGGAAAAAGAAATCAATTGCACAGTTACAATATGGGGGATAACTCGTTTAGCAATACTAGAAGCAAGACTACGGACTACCTTTGACCACGATTTTTGCCTTTTGGACTTTATTGCACTTTATCTCCCGGCTTGATCTTGGACTGTTTGCCGTTTCTTGCTTTTTCTTCACAGAGTAATGACCTCATTCATAGAGCTTACACAGTTTGACTTTGGACTGTCTCGGTTTCCTCTTCTTGATTGGCAATATTTGGACTTGTTTACGCTATGATTCCTGTGAGTTATTTTCGTCTATATTTTCTCCAGGAAACGTAATTAATTTTTGGCCTCCTCAGGCCCTTTTAAGCGCTGTGTCTCCTGTGCCGCTAAAATACCATTTACTGCCCGGAGCTTCCGTCATTAGCCTTACCAGCCACTCCATCACCAAGGTCTCCGACTAAGTCAATTAAAAGAACCTCGGGATCAATGTCGAAGAAACCTTCAACCTCTACTTCGGCACCAGTTCCGAAGCATGTACCTGCTGAAACAATAAAGAAATCTTCGGTTAAGAACAAGAGAGATAAACAAGACAAGCCTTCCTCAAAGGATCGATCCCGTGATTTGCCTCCAGTCTCGGCATCGCATCACCAATATTGGAGGAATCCTCTAGAGACCAGCCTGGCACTGAATCTATTTCGGATGACGACACATTCACCCATCATTGCACGAGTCAGGCATTGATGCTGGTGCAGAGCCCCTTGCCGAGTCTGAGCTGCATTTAGGCTGAGATCACTTCCAGCCAGACTTCTGCCCATTCTAGCCCTGTTTTTACCAGACGGGCGACTGGTGTTTAACAGTCAGACTCAGATGTCTTCATCCCAGACATCCCCTAGGAAAAGAACAAGTAAAAGAAAGCACATCTCTCCGTCTCGACATCATTCTTCACATTGAGAAGTGATTGTGCTTCCTCGAGCATCACGGCACGGAGCTCGATCTGATTATAATGATCCCGTTTACATGCATGTGGGGCGCAGAAATGCCCGTCGTCAGTACCAGGACAATGATTTCGATGTCCACTCATGCTACGAGGTCAAAAGTTATGATAAGCACAGAAGGGTCAAATAAATATATGCTTCCTCTTCTTCCACATCTCCCTCGCCACCTCGGCATCGTTGTCGATCGAGCTATGAGGTCGAGGTTCCGATGTCAAAGTCCATCAAGCATCGAGATTCGGGTTGAGTCTCCACTAAACAAATGGCTATGACATCAGAGAAGGTCCACTCTGCTTCTAATGTGGTGGTACTTGTCACAAAGCATCAGTCAACTGCAAGTGATGCTAGACAAGCTTCTAAGGACTCTGCCTCTACTCAGGCTTCTAAGAGCCTGAGTAGAGGCAGTTTATTACCTTCGCCCTCCCCTTCTTTTCAGGAGGGTACTTCGGCCTCATCTGTCTCAGACCAGGATGAAGAGGATCTTTCGGACACATTGGAGGATACTCCACCAAACATAAACACCCCTGATTTTACCTCATATTCACAGATGATATATTGGATGGCTAAGTCTCTACAGCTTAAAGTGGAACAACCACCACATCCCAAAGAGGATCTTGTCTTTGGTGATATCAATCAGGAAAAGAACTACCATTTAAGCCTAGCCTTTATTCCAGCCATGATGGATATTATTAAGGAATATTGGAGCCTCCCATCATCATCGTTGCAAATTTCTCGAAGGATGGAGGGTCATTATAGGACCCATGTAGATAACACTCTATTCCTATCTAAGCACCCGGCTCCTAACTCTATTATTGTTCAGTCCAACCTATCCAGAATGGGAGGCAAGGCTAAGGTTACACCTGCCAACCATGAGGGAAGGAAGCTGAATGTTCTTGGGCACAGAATGTATTCCTTTGCTTCCTTTTTGCTCAAAGTGTCAAATTATCAGGCAGTGCTTGGAGCATACCAGAAACAACTTTGGGCTAAAGTTCTGCCTGCCCTTCAGTCAGCTCCTGAAGAATTTAGAACAGCACTCCTCAATGCACATGCTGAAGCCTCAATGGTTGCCAAACATCAAAGGGTAGTATCTCGTCATGCAGCTGAGGCATCCAAATCCTTAGTGTCTGCGATTTCCCTGAGACACCATGTGTGGCTAAAATTGTCAGCGATCGCGGAGGATGCTAAAGCACGCATAGAGGAATTGGCATTTAATGGTGCAGTCTTGTGCAATGAAAAAACGGATGAAATCATGGAAACTTTTCACAAAATCAAGAAAACAGCTAGATCATATACAATACAGTACAGCACCAGCCAAAATTCCAAAAGTTTCAATGGTGCAGGCAGTATGGTCAACAACAGTACAAACAAACCCACCAGACGTACCATTCTTATAGGCTGCAAACGCAAGGGAGAGCAGGTCAGTCTTCTGCCAATGTCTCCTTCAAGTCTCAGACTTCCTCTCAGCGCGGTCAGACTTACTTTCAACCTTCCAAGAAAGGAAAGCAGTACCTTGACTTACCCATGACCGGAATCACTATTACAGTCCCTCCTCTTCCAGTGACTTTTCAAACCAGATTCAAACCCATTCTTTTCAAACCCATTCTTTAAAAATTGGACTCTTATCACCAAAGATATTTGGGTTCTATCCAGCATTCAATTCGGCTACCTTTTAGAATTTACAGAACTCCCTCCCATTGGCAGCATAAAGATTACATCCTACGACCCCGCCTTAGAGGAAGAAATATCATCACTCTTACAGAAGCACACTATTCAGCATGTACCCCTCCAAGACATTCCAAATGGATTCTACTCCCGCTACTTCACGGTTCCCAAGAAAGATGGGGGCATCAGACCCATTCTAGATCTCAGGTTCTTAAATACTTACCTTTATCCAAGGTGATTCCGTAGAATTCATAATTCACCTGTTATGACAAGAAGATTGGTTTGTGGTTATAGACCTAAAGGACGCCTACTTTCATATATCCATTCATCAACGTCATCAAAACTATTTCCATCTCTTATTCATAGATACCGCTTATCAATTCTGCGCCCTTCCATTCGGCTTGTCCACAGCGCCAAGAACATTCACAAAGTGCATGGTGCCGGTGGCGGCTTACCTTCGTCTATACAACATAGATGTACATAGACAATTGGTTGATAGTAGCTGCTTCCTGTCGAAAGGCCATCTGAGACACCGAGTTTGTTCTACAAACCCTTACAAGCCTGGGCTTAAAAATCAACAGGGAGAATCTCAGCTTCAACCAACTCATGTCATAGACTACATAGGTGCACGTTTAGACTCTATCAGTGCAAGGGTGTTCCTTCCACCCAAACGTCTATGCAAGTTAAAACATGTGATCCATCCATTTCATCCTCACACCACAGTGTCTGCACACCACACGCAACATCTCCTAGGTTTGATGGCATCAACTACGTCTGCCTTACCTCATGCAAGACTAAAGATGTGTTCCCTTCAGGCATGGTACCTGGCCCAACTCAATCCCTTGAAAGACCATCCGCCCACGCGTCTGTATGTAACCAAAGAGTTTGTGCACCACAAAGAGAGTGGTGGACATTCATACAGAATCTCCTAATAGGGTGCACTTTTCGACCTCTGCAGTTGACAATTCAAGTAACAATGAACACTGCAGCCCCCACAAAATTCACGCTCTCTGGTCAAGGAATGAGAGGCTGCTGCACATAAACCACCTAGAAATATGTGCTGTCATCAAAGCCTTCCGTGCCTTCCACCCACTGATAGCAGGTCAGGGGGTCCAAGTGGTCACAGACAACACCATGACCATGTATTATATCAACAAGCAAGGGGGCACACACTCGATGTCACTTCTATATCTGGCAGTTCATATATGGGAGTGGTATTATGTACATCACATTTTTCCAGTAGCCATACACGTGTCGACAGAAGACAATCAAGTGGCAGACACACTCAGCTGAATGTGCAGACATACAAGTGGGAACTCAACAATATCATATTTACGATGATTTGCAACCGGTAGGGAACTCCAGAGATAGACATGTTCGCAACTTACCTCAACACCAAGTGCAACATGTTCTGTTCCAGGGCAGGGATAGGCAGTGCATCACTAAGGGATGCCTTCATGGTCAAATGGACGGACTGCCTGCTGTATCTTTTCCTTCCTATCCCGATAATTCAGAGGACTCTAATCAGAATTCGTCAAGCTTGGACAGATGTCATTTTGATTGCACCATGGTGGCCTCGGCAACCATGGTTTACAACTCTCTAATGGATAGCGTCCAAGTTCCTCAGCCTACCACCGCTGCCACATCTGCTCATTCAGGATGCGGATAGAGTCTGTCACCCACACCTGGATTCCCTGCACTTAACAACATGGAGGATTCTTCCATGATTGCAGAGGTTTTGGATAAGACTAGGAAACCATCTACAAAGCGTTTGTATTCATACAAATGGAGGAATTTCCTGAAGTTTGCTAAATCACGGAACTTACAACCGGTGCTGGTATCTCTTGATATGCTCCTCGCTTACCTGTGTCACTTATTTGATCTAGGCTTGGCCTTTTCTATTCTTAGTCTATTGTTGCCATTGTTTTCCGTCAACCTGTGGAATTGGAGTCCTCCCGTCTATTTTCACACCCTACTCTGAAACTCTTCTTGAGAGGTCTACAAAATATCCGTCCGCCCACCTGCCTGTCTCTACCCCAATGGTCCTTGCGGGTAGTGTTACAGGCTCTTACACGTCCGCCATTTGAACCCATGGCTTTGTCTGATTGCCAACTTTTGTCATTTAAAACTTTATTTCTAGTTCCAATAACATCTGCAAGAAGAGCAAGTGAATGGCCGCCCTGAGGGCTGACACACTTTATCTACAATTTTTCCCAGACAAAGTGATTCTGTACCCAGGTATCTCCTTCCTAAAGTTGTTTCAAGTTTTCATGTCAATCAACCATTGACTTTACCTACGTTGTTTCCTAATACTTGTTCAGATGTTGAGTGCTTGCTCCACTCGTTAGATGTTCGCTGTGCTTTGGCTTTTTATACGTCCAGAACCAAGGACTTTCACACCTCTCCCCAGTTATTTGTATGCTTCCATGGTCCTCATAGAGGCTCTCCGGCAACTTCACAGACTATTTCATGTTGGATTGTGTCTACGATTACTTTGGCCTATGAACTGTCAGGTAAAACCCCACCTGAGGCACTAAAGGCACATTCTACCAGGCATGTGGCAACTTCAACGGCCCTGATGCATGGTATTGACATCCCGGATATCTGCTGAGTAGCCACATGGTCCACTCCATCCACCTTTGTGACTCACTATCCTTTGGACCTTAGGGCCAAGAAAGAAGCGAGTTTTGGGAGAGCTGTTCTTACATCCATACTGAAATTGATGGCTCACCTTCCGGTAAGTGAGCTTGCTAGCCACCCAGTTGTGTGGAATCACAGAGGCCACGTAGAAGAGGTTCTCTCCCTCGCGTTCCAGCTTTTGTTTTTATTCTACCTTTTAACTTTTATACAAACGTAGTTTTCTTTTTTCTTTTTAACTACACTTTACTCCCTCTAAATAGCTTCTAATTAGCTCTTGAAGAAGCTTTTGAAGCCAAGCATTTAGGGAGTTAAAACAACCTCTGGAATTTTCTGCTGTTTTACCAATCCGACAAGGAAAGGGGGAGAAGAAACAGCTGAACTGCGGACTTACTGCTCTGAAGAATTTATTTTCTGGCAGAGGTTGTTCAAGTCAGCGCCGGGGCCATCACCTTCTCCCTTGAGATAAAAGGACACCAGGAAAGGCAAGCGAGGTGGAGATACTGGTTCCTCATTTTTACTAGAGCAAGTGCGAAACATGGACGGAGAGCTACAGCTTGCATTCTGGTGATCTCCCAGTGGAAGTGAATTTGCCTCTACAACTTTACAACTCTGGGTGAAAGCCATATATCCCCACGGCCTCATTGTTAAGCAAATACTTACAATCAAGCAGGTACTCCATGATGCAAGAACATCAGGTGCGGTAAGCAAACGGAATTTTCTGCTTTGCCTTCCCCCAACTGTTTGGAGGTATTGCTGAAAAGTCTAAAACAGTCCAAGACTAAGACAGATTGCTTTTACTTCTGGACAAAAGGGGATGAATGGGGCCTAAGACAGATACTTGATTGTGGAATCTTTAAGCACTCCAAAGTAACTGAGGGCCCGCCTGTTCTGTGCTTGTATCTGCACACCTACCTCTGGGTTTAAGTCAAGCAGCGACAGGACAATCAAACCAAAAGATCTATACCTGAGAGCAAAACTGTGGTAAGCAAATGGAATTTTCTGCTCCGCCTTCCCCCAATTGTTTAAAAGTATTGCTGAAAAGTCTTAGCAGACTAAGACAGATTGTTTTTATTTCTGGACAATAGGGGATGAATGGGGCCTAAGGCAGATACTTGATTGTGGGATCTCTAAGCACTCCAAAGTAATTGAGGGCCCCCTTTCTGTGCTTGTATCTGCACACCTACCTCTGGGTTTAGGTCAAGCATGTATATATCTTATGGTCTAGTACAGGAATAACATGCTCTTGTTGGACAGTGGTTTTTACTAGATGGGGTTATAAAGAACATGGGGTTTCTCCAATACATGGAAACTTAGTAGCAGAAAGGAAAGAGAGACAAAAGAAAATTACACATTTCTTTTCTCCCAAAGAGGAGGGCACTAAAAATACCAATGAAATTACAACAATATCATGACCACCTCCCAATTTAGACTGGTCAGTTGAGTATCGATGTTCAACAATAGAAACAAATAAGGAAGATTATGCTCCTGACCTGGCGACAGAGCTAGCAGCTGCAGAAGACGTTTTGGACTCCAGTAGGGCGGAAAAGAAGGGGGAAAGGAGGTAGATGATCTTATGTTAAAACAAATAGATGAATTGGTACATCCAAACGGAAAAAGAGCCCTTTCCAAAGCCAGTTAAGGCAAAAGGAGAGTCTGACACTAATACATTATTCCAGTGGGTAAAAGACATTCTAGAGGAGATGAAGTTAATTAAAATATTCCTCTATGAATCTTACGAGCTATTAACTACTCTAACCCAACTAGCTGAGTTAAAAAATGTACCCAACAACAACAACAGACAAACTGACCAAGATAATGCATTGTTACAGGCCAATTTTGCCAAAGAGGGTAAAAATTCCAAACAGGATACCAAGAATAGGGCACAAGAAGGATCTCTGTATGGACGCACAAGTAAAAAAAGAGTAAAATTAGCAAAAAATAAGACCACATCATCATCAATTAAAAAGCCCAAGAATATTAAGAACGCAAATAAATCAAGAAAACCATCCCAAAAATGAATTACCATAACCTATTTAAACATCTTGAGATGAACTCAAATGAAGAGGTAAAATCTTCCAGACTTAAAAGAAATTCTGAAAAGTTAGGTATTGGTGCATTTGCCAAATGCACACCAATCAGAAATCAACTCTATCATACAGGGTATTAGTGAGGATAGTACAGATGAAGTGGGAAATGACCCCTGGAGTGATGTGCTAAAGAGTAATAGTGTACAGAGAAGAACACTCAATCAATAATCCAGCCGACAAAGCCTGAGAACAATGCAACATGGAAGTTGAGACTAATGACTCATACTTTAGCTTTCTGTGGATACCCAAAACCAAAGGGGTTACTTACACAGTATGAACACAAATGTAATCTGGTAAATATCTTAGAACCCATAATTCCTGAAGGGACGCTGCGCGCGGCCATTCTGCGGCTTCCGGCGGCCATTTTGTAGCCGCCGAACAGCTGATCGGCTCTGCGATTTTCGGCCATAGGGGCCATTGGTATGCAATTGCATTTGTGATCGTGAAAACGTCCTCGTAGAGCGAATTCATCGCTCTACGGGGCGCTCATTGTGCGAGGCACCACTGTACTTTCATAATTTAGCACACACACTACCCCTCATAAGTGAGTATGCAAGGGAGACAGAAAGGGAGAAACCAGTCTATCCCCAGGAGAAGCACACTGAGGAAGATCTTATTCAAATTTTAGACTATTCAAATGATGGGCAGAATGCTTATGGTTATCCCACAGAAAAATGCAAGGATGATAGCCATATAACAAAAAAGACCATTCCAGGTCTTGCTTGGCTAGAAGAGGAGGCGGAGATTCATCTTATTGCCTGTCTATAGTACACCAACTGGAATGTCTGGTTGCACATTTGAGGAATTTTGGACAGCCCCCAAATACCAACGAAGACCTAGCAAACCATCAATTACATGTACCTAGTGCCCCAGTATTGACACAAAGTAAGGATAGAGTGAAACCCCCTCTGGAGCCAATGATAATAATACTCAATTCTAACTTGACAGTGCCTGCAAACCATCCCGAGCTATGCCTGATAGCCGAGGCACCCCTAAATGAAGGCCAGAGAAACTTTCCTGTTACCACTAAGATAAACTGACAATCCCTGCAGCATAACGATACCATAGCTAGAATCTGTCCCACACAATCGGATAGCTGCCCATGGGATAAAGGGGAGATCTTGAATGCATCACAGGATCAACTCAAAGTTATCTCATGGAACATAGCAGGGTGGACCTCGAAGCAAAATGATCCCAATTTTCTGGAACATTTGAGGGATCATGATATAATTTTTATTCAGAAAACATGATTCACCAAACAAATCAAGGTAAATGGATATGCTGTATATGATATGCCCGCTGAGACCACCAAAAGGAAAGGTAGACCTAAAGCAGGCTTAGCAATAATGATATCTACTGCTCTCCAGGCATCTGTCAACTGGCTCTTCATTTGTGGGAAAATCGCACTGGCCGGGCATATAGTCTTTGGGCCTAAGACCCTTCTTCTGGTCAATGTTTATATCCCACCTTTCTTATCTCGGAAAAGCATAAAACAAGCTTGGGAAGACCTGGAAAACTATATAATAGGACTAGAATGCAAACTCCCTAGAGCCGAGTTACTTATAATGGGGAACCCAAGGCAGCCAATTCTATCTTAGAAAAGTGGATCAGGGACATTGACTTCCAGTATTGTATTTCAATGGCTCGCAAAACATGCTCCATTTTGCACCTTGGCCTAAACTATAATTTCTCCCAAAGTGCTAGGTATTTAGAGTACATGATTATCCCAAAATACAGGCATGTATTCTCAAGAGCCCGATTTAACTGTCTCCAATCCGCAATCTTAGATGGATGATATTCTGGCACCCCTTATGAAAAAAGATTGTGTCCTTATAAGGATAGAGAAATTGAAACTATGAAGCATGTCCTTTTTGAGTGCAATTTTTACATACACAAGCGTATCAAATTCCTTAACCCCATAATGAATGTCTTCTCAGGTAGGACTCTGATTTGGCATACAAAATATTTATTAAGTGATAACAAGAAAATCACCGAATCAGTTGCCAAATTCCTCTTCTCTGCCCAAAGAATACGAAAAACAATCTTGACCTCTACCTAACCCTGTCATTTAAAAAAAAAAACACATCATTGTATGGGTAATCTATTTTATCAATTTATACTGTTTTAGCTGTTTTGAAATGTTTTAATAGTTTCCATCCATTTTAAATTTGACATGTATGTATTTTAATGGGTCCAAGACCGTAAAATAAAGACTGATTGATGGTATTGTATTGTATTGTATGTAAGTAATATACCCGAAGTCTTCTCAGGAATTTTTAAACGCATGAAAAATATGCTTGCAGCATAAAAATAAAATGTCACGTAGAAGAAAAACTGGTTACCTACCTGTAACTATGGTTCTTCTAGTGGTGGTCTGTGAATTCACACATCCCGCCTGTCCTCCCCACTGTCTGTCACTCATAGTCTTAGCTCATAGGGCTTTGTCAGCGGCGGACATTTGGAACTGAGGTGCACGGGTGGGTGGAGCATGCATAGTAGGGACAATGTACTACTAATGTTTCTTATCTTAAGCTCTAGAATATTCTGAGAATCCAGCGCAAGCGCAGTTTAAACCCAGTTGCGTGGATTCGCAGAGACCACTAGAAGAACCATAGATACAGGTAGGTAACCACTCTATTTTAAACCAACACATGTTAAACCAATACCTTTTAAACCCACACATTTTAAACCAACACCTTTTAAAACAAACCAAGCAACTTTTAAACAAAACACATTTTAAACCAAACCAAGCACCTTTTGAACCCACCCACTGTAGCGTTCAGCCCTGCCCTCACATGTTCGTCACAGCTGAGCAGTGGAACAGCAGCCAATGAGGGGACGGAAGGTGGTGCTAAAGGGGGAGGAGCTGGGATATAAATAAGGGTGTATGGTGTATGAAGGGGGAGATTTGAGATGAGTGTGGGAGCCTTAGTGTGTCTGTGGGCCTGTGAGCCAAAAAGTCAGTGAGAGAAGAGTCTGTGTGTCAGTGAGAGAAAGATATTAACATCGTGTGATTTACCTATATTATTTTATTGATCAAATAAACAAGTTTTAGTTTTGAGGCAACACTTGTCTCCTTAAATAATTGATACTGAACTGAAGTATTGGTGGCAGCAACTGAGTGGAAGAGTGAACACCTCCTGGAGGCCTGAGATAATAGAGGCTTCAGCGCGCTCGCTACATAAACTGGTGTCCAGTGTGTGGGGATACGTGCTTGATCCAGTAACGCCTTGGAATAGAAAGGTTCCCAGAGCAGAAGAATATTTTAGTCAGGGAATCTGAGTGGAAGAGTGGGTCACTTCCTAGAGCCTCCTCAAGGAGAGAAGGCTTAGTAGGAGGGCTCTGAAACTCAGATTGGGAGGGTAAGATAGGGACAGGCTCTGTGGAAACCATTTCTGGGATGAGTTTACTCCAAGCAGAATCTGTGACCGGTTGGCTAGCTTGTCCTGAGCTCAAAGGATAGAGTTCTGAGGGGACAAAGCGAAGGCCAAGGGCAGATAAGCTGAGGGGGCTCAAGTCAGCTAAAACTGGGAAAGGTTGAAGCTGTTATTTAGGGTTATTTAGTGCCTGAGGCAGGGAGAGAAAATCTGTCTTTGGTGAAAGGCCTGGCTGGAAGACAGAGGCCTAGACACAGTAGCTTACCAGTGGATGAGT